ATAGTGATCGATTTTTCCTCTCTCAAACAGATAATTCAGTAGGATTCGAGATATTTCTACTGATCCTTAATCATCTTTAATCATGATTATTATCGATGAATAGTATCAGTGTTGTTTGCATATCTTTCCAATATATTGATCAGAATTCGTTTGATTCATTCAGATGCTAACATTGCATATCGAAATGATTTCGAAGTACATTTGAACTTTTCCTATTTGAAATTTGTTTGCCTTATAATTTCCTTCCTTCAAAAGAATTACTCACTATGATTTCGAAATATTTAAATTGATAAGTTTACAATTCTTGGGATTAATCGAAAATTAAATTTAACTGTTAAATGCTATCAATGCTTTTGGCTTAATCAGTTGATTTTTGATTTTGATAAATAATTTCAGTCTGATTTGCAAATTCACCTTTACAATCATAATTATGTCCTTTTCTTCTTTCACGTCATCTATTATCCGATACGAAAATATATATAGCAAAAATAAGCAATCTTCTGTCTGTTTAGTGAGCACATTTTTGTTTTTCCTTTCTACGTCGTGGAACGGATATAACGAAATGAATATTTCATCTGTTCTGGGATAACGGGAGGTCAGAGAAATAGCATACATATTGTTTGTTAATCGAATATGAGATTGTTTAGAAGCTTCTTTCCTAGCTTCCAGAAATCTGAATATCCGACATGGACGTGTTGAAAATTGCAGAATTAGACTAGTAGCGATATATTTTTCAGTTAAATTATGCTAGAGCAATTTTTCAAAAAGATTTCCACATTTTATAATGTTTATGAATTGAGACAACTCAGATCGCCTTCAGATGCTTCCTTGATAGCCATTTGAATTTCTCTTTTATGATTCCGTGCAATTTAAATTTTAGTGTTATGCATGTTTAAAGTTGCTGATAAATTTCAATCATTTTTCAAAATCCTTATATTTTTCTATCGAATTTTTACTTTTTATTGACAACCTATTCATTTTCTCCGCTTTTATTTGTATTATACGATGCAACTTGGTTGACCTGTTTCATAGGTCATTGGAGATATGTTAGATTCTGAAAAAATTCATATATTTTAAAACATTCTTTGAAAGACTCAATTACAAGCTTCATCTCTGATTGCAGATTCTTATTTCCCTATCAAATTTAGAATCATAATGAATTAATTGTTTGTTGTATTTCGAAAATATGGAGATGAAATTATTCAATGAATAATAAATATTATTTGACTATTGTATTTTTCGTTTGCAACTTTATTTTTCGATCTATTTCCTATCTTCGAAATGATATCTTTCTGAGAAAATTACATTAAATCTATTTATCGTTATAATTGTTATTAAGCAAAATAAAAGAACTAAAAATAATAAATCGAGAAAGTTATTAATTTAACCAATTAGAAATTTCAAAATTAAGCATCGTTACTTCGAACTTAAACTGCTGTATTACGGAATTGGAATTCGGAATCATTTAATGATTCTTTTAAGAATAATCATTGACCTAATTACCGCTATGTCCATAATTATCACTACTGTTTATTATTGCCGTCATTGATTATTAATGTCATTATATTTTGCACTTCTCACCTGATTTACTTTGACTTACTACGAAATATTAATTCATAGTTTTTGTGTAAAAAAGATTGTATGCAAACTTAGGAACATGATGGGACTCGATTTAAAAATTCGCGCAGCTGTCAATCATCTGAAACCGGAATCAAATGATCCTTCAGGTTTGTCTATTGCTATTGTAGAAAAAAAATAGTATCCCTCATGAAAAATCAACATTGCGGATACAAGATTTTTTACAAAATCTTAAAGAGAATAGACTAATTTAGCTAAAACAATACTTTAATTTTCTTTCCATTAATTTTGAGTGGTGTAATCGTGCAACACTTACTCAATGTTCAATGCATATTCTTTAATGTTTAGTTCTATTCAATTTAGGTATGATAATATAAAATATGAAATTTAACTTACAGCTCAACTTCATAGTTTTTGTCAGTTGAATTATTTTAATGGCTAATATTTATTGGATAATTCGTTTTGTCCATCTTAGTTAATAGTTAACATTGTGAAGTGTTTCACATTCAAATGATTAGTAAGTACTTCATTGTTCCATCTTCACTTGCTCATATTTCGTTTGTTTGCTTTAAGTGAAATTTCATTTCAAAAGATTTATAGTTTTCGGAAATTTCACTCATAGAAGAGTAAAATCGGAAGAGGAGTGAATTCATTAAGAGCAAATCAATTGATGTAACACCTGCTCTGTTCATTTAATTGGCTATTGTTAATTTAAAAAAAAAAACTTTTGATTTATTTATTGCTATTATTAAATTAGTGAGTTTTAGACCTAACACAGAAAAACAATTGATTGAAATATAATTATTTAAAATAGAAATTTTAAAATACAGTTTTTTGTTTTGATTAATTTGGGCTAAAAATTTCGTCATAGAATTAGAAAATAGTAAATGTCGCAAAATTTGAAATAATTATTTTCACTAATTTATTTTTGTAAAAATTTGCATAATCATTTATTGATTTATTACAATGTTAATGTCATCGACCTGTTTTCACTTCGTTTATATTTGCATCATAAAAGGGAACAACTACCTACATCTGTGTAATATTATACTCTTTTTTTTTAAAGCATACTATTTTAGCGTTACCTTTGTTTTTCAACTCTCACTCTTAATTGCTATTAAATAAAAGTAATTTCAAAGTGTAATTCGATTAGATTGCTAATAAATATTCGATGAAGTATTAATTGGGAAAGGAAAATTTAGTGAAAGAGTAAGGAATGCTAAAGTGAAATTTACTATGATCGTATTTCAAATTTTTTCATTCTTTAAAAGAACGATCCGAAGATATTTTCCGTTTTAATTCTTTCTCTAACTTTGATTACATTTCAAAAAAAATTACACCAAAACATTATTGACATTTGCTAATGTTAATCAAACAGGAAAAGTGATGGTTTTACGACATTGTCGTATACCTCATTGTTGTATACTACAATGTAGTAATGTAGTATATCCAATTGTAAATTGTAACTGTCAATGATTAGTGGCGGAGAGAATTTTTTGCTATTTTTGTTTGTTGACAGTTGTACTATCATATCCTTAATTAGATCATTTTAAATAAAATGTAAAGTTAATAAATCCACCAAAAAATTATTTAATATAAATTGGAAATTTTTTAAATTTTAATTTTTCACATAACTCTCTCAAAGATTAGTCAACAACTGAATGAACTTAAAAAGGTTCTTCAAATTAGGTAAATATTGATATGAATATATTATATTATAATGAACAAATAGTTGAATTTATGAAGTTTTGCTTAATAACTATATATGTTTAATAACTATATATGCTTAATAATTATTATTTACTATATATATATTTGTTAGCTTTTTCTTCAGTAATTTTAAATGTTAATTGAAATATTTAAAAGATATTTTCAAAGCGAAAAAAGAAATACTTTATTGATTTGTTAGATGACAAAGTATATAAGATTTAAATTTGAAAATGCTTCTTACATTGCAAAGAGTGTTTTAAGAAATTTTACCGTTCAGTTTTATTTCTGTTAGATCTAAAATATCGAAAATTAAATGTAATATTAGATTTGTGAACGAATTATTGATTTATAATTCAATTCAGATTATACATAAAAGATTTGATCCAACAATATTTCATGTCATTCATACTCAATAAATCAATAAGTAGAATAGTTAAAAGAGAAATAATGAAATGATTATCATCTTCTTTATGTAATTCTCCTATCTTACCTTATCTTAATTAAATCTTTCTTCAACAATATTCCTGTTCAGTTTAATTGAAATCAGTTGCGTTCAATGAGAAATCTGCTGTGCCTTTAGAATAAAGAATAAAGGTCACAATACACTGCAAGTTTCATTCTATCAAATAAATCATTCGAGAGAATCGAAATTGATGAAATTATCCTTACATCATTCTCTCTCTCTGATCCTTTCGTAATTTGATAAAAGTAAACGATGCTATGCTATCTATACTTTCTGTAACAATTATGTTAATATATTATCACATATCGTTATCATATCACTATTGCTAATTTTTCCATACAATTACTAATTTTTCTTTTAATTGAATCAATCGTAATCAACGATTAGATACCAAACAATTTAGTGATAATTGTGTTGATTGATTCTTTGTTTACTATATGCGCCTGTTGTTTTCTATTATTTGTCGCAATACTACATAGAAAGGACTTGAAATGAAAATTCTTGCCGCCGCTGTTGTTTTTGTTGTTGTTGTTGTTGTTGTTGCTATTGTCACTGTTGTTATTATTACTGCTCTTATCTATTTTGATAAATATTAGAAAATGAATGCGTCTCTTCCTCTAAACAAAAATTTTCCAAATTTTCTTATCTTATTAGTACTGAAATTTTCTAAATATTCACCGAATTTTATCATCAATTATTTTATTTTATATTTTATAAGAAATATGAAAATTGAACAAACAAAGAAATAGTTTATATTTTATAATTTCAATACAATAATTTATGATTTATGAATTTATGTAAAATTATTCGAATCAGAAAACAATAATAGTTAGCTATCATTGTACAACTTTGTCTGTGTATTTTTGTGAAGTTTATATCAATACATTAAATTGTGATAATAATTAACAAATGATAAGACAATTAAGAAATTAGGCGAAGAGGAGAAATTATTTTATACAATAAAATTTTATGAAAAGAAATTATTTCCTTTCTCAAACAAATTTCTTCCATAAAAATATCAAAGAAATGCTACCTTTTTTTTTTCCTGTAAAAGATTCATAGCAAAATTTAACAATTCTCATATCTAAGTTAAATTACCCAAACTGGTTGTCAATAACATGTTTTCCAAATCAATAATTTTAATTTCAAACAAACTTTCAATAGAAAATATGAATTTCATAAGAAAAATTTTTGTTTGAAGAATAATTTTTAAGTTTTTTATTTTCTTTTAATATTCAAATATTCAGGTATGGATTGCTTTGCTGACGATCGTGAAGCTCTCAACGATTTTACAAAATATTACAACAATTCGCACCTAAGTGATGTTGCACTTTTAGTTGGTGACGAAATGTATGTCATTGTTTTGTTACATCATCCTAAAATATTTTGAGTGAATTGAAGTTAAAATACTTGTGAATTTCTTTTGTTGTTGTTGTAATATCATTTGAAATATTTCTTTGTTATCATATCATTTTTAATTAAATGTATGCAGAAAGTTTATATAAGGTTAATTAATGCTAACATTTGATATGATAATAGCTAAATTTAAATCTACTTTAAAAGATTCATTTTAATTTAACTTTTAACTCAATTTTTAGCTATCCAGCACATCGAATAATACTAACAAAAAGTAGCGAAGTGTTCGATCAAATGTTGAGCAAGAAATGGAACGGTGATAAGAAGGTTCCTATTATTTTACTCTTTTCTCAATTTTGTTTTTCATTAATTTCAAGAAATTATTATTTTATTCTTTTACTTTAAATTTGACAGCTGTCTAGTAGAAGGAAGGAAATTGTTAATTTTTGTATTTTATGAAAAAATTAAAAGCTAAAAGATGAAAATGTAAATGTAAGTATGAAATTATGAAAAAGCAAAATTGAAATATTTCATTTTTTTATGCTTTATGATTGTATCGACCCTATGTATCGATCCTTTGCCCTATGAACCAAATGTAATTCTGTTTTAAGATTTGAAATCAAATCGATCATTTCATTTCAAAGACATTCATAACTGGAAGGTAGTAATCAAAATTAAAGAAATAATTACAGGAATTAGAACTTGTCGAAGATCCATACTGTCAACGAGTTTTTGCTGCATTTCTACGCTTCCTCTATTGCAATCACATACTTTTACATGCTAAAAATGCATTACCAGTGCTTATTCTCGCCGATAAATACAATGTTAATAGCTTGAAAAAGGTAATGCAATTTCTTTTTTAAGTTAAACTTACTAATTTATTTAAAGATTTCCACAAATCTTAAAATAGTTTAAAAGAAATTTAATTGTTGTAAAATAAGGTGTTTGTTTTGAGTAGTTTGCAAAGACAGATATGGTTAGGGTTAAGTTTATTTTGTCCAGAGAATGGTTGTAATTGTTTATATTGAGAACAATCAACGTTATTCAACAATATCAGGGATAGTTGAGATGGAGCACTGAATACGAACTAATTCAAGATCTACCGATTATGAAATTGATTGGATATATATCTATATATGGATGTGAGTGGGAGTGGTTTAATTGTCTAGACTAGTTTAATTTAGTAATATAACATGAGTAAAGATTAAATATCATAATTTACATTTAATGAGTGAATCAGATAGTTGGAAGATAACAGATTGACAGTTACTGTTTATAATGAAACAAAGCATTGGTGGTAGATCAAGGTTGAAATCGTGAAATTAATAAATATAGCGGTTAATGAAAAGGAACGAAATAAAATGATTGATTATATCGGAAGATGAAAGAATAGATGACAGAGTAAAGATCGTATACTTATAATCAAATTTGTGATTATTACAACTAAAAAACTTATCTTAAGGATTTTTATCTTAAGGTATATTATTTCGGTTTTCCGATATTAATGTGAAAATGAAAAAATATATAAAATTTCTTCGTTAGACAAATGGATTTATAAATCATTGATTGTTATCAATCGGTTGCTAATAGTTTTTATTATCAGTAAACTTAACGGTGAATTTTATTTATACCATATATTTGTATTATTCCAATTTAAATTTATTAAAATTTTTGAGATTTGCCTCGCCATAAACTTAAAGGATAAATTATTACCGTCCGATCATTAATTATTGATTGATAAGTATGAATGATATATGTGATATTTATAGAAATACTGATCACTTCCACATTCTATCTATATGTTTTTGATTTCAATTTAAAAGATATTTCATTCTAATTTCTTCATTTGCAATATTTATTATTATTCATTTATTTCTCTCTCTCACTCTCTTTTTTTAATATCATTTTGTGCCAGTCATTATCATTCATTTCTTTATTATCTTTCAGTCTTCTCAGTGATAACTTTTTTTTTGAGATTTTCAAACAATGGAAATTTGATAATAAGTAATTATTTAGGTTTGTATTGATTATGCTGTGAGTAATATATTGCCAGAATTGTCAACCAGAGAATTATTCCACGTGTGGTTTTCGTATGCCACAAAAGCATTTCATCAAGTATGTCACATTGATTTTCAACAATACTATTTTGAAATAATATTTAAAACATTTTTTTTTTCATTTTAGCCACTGATAAATGCATGTATCAAAGTGTTAGCATGGCATTTCGAAGAGATAATAATAAGCGAAGAATGGGAAAAAGAATGGTTATCGGTGGATCGCGATCAGCTTATCGAATTACTTAAATCCAATGATCTTGTCTTGTCAAGTAATCCTGTTCTATTAATAGCAAATAATGCTAATTAATTGCTTATAAATTGAAATAAGTTTTTATGCAAAAGAATTTGAGCGTAAAAAATTCAATAGATTAATAAGACAATATTAATGAATGAAATAATTTTGTATTAAAGATGGCTAAAGAAGATAAGGGAAGAGGAAAATTGCTTGAGATCACTGATTGTGCCCTTATTTTTATATAATTCAGATGAATTTCGTTTGTGGGAAGCTGTACAGAAATGGTTGACCGCATCATCTCATCCTGAGAGACGTGGTAGCACCGCTTCACCACTTCTCGCTTCCATTATTCCATTCATAAAGTTGGTTTCTCATGAAATTCTTCAAAGAACTTCTGTTGCTAATTTCTTCAAAGTTTTAAATACTCATCATAGGTGGATTTCAATGATGATGTATTATATATATTAATTATTAATAATGGTTTAGGCTTTTGTTCAAATAGTATTTTAATAAGCCTAAGTAGAGAAATGCACTAAATTCTTCACTGCACTATCAGAGTGATCAATCAGGGCCTGTAGTGGGTTAGTTAGTTCAAAAAGTGATTCCTTAGGTATTTCAGTATACTAAACTGGCTTACTGCATTTTGCTACAAATACCTAAGAGGAAACAGTTTCTGACGAGTTATTTATTGATTGATTAATATCAAAATTATAACCTATTCTGATAGTCACCATCCAGGAAACAAAATACAGGTGTGGTTTTCTTAATGCAACAAAAGATATTTCTATTCGTAAGGTAAAGTCTATTATATTACAATGAAGATTGAATTATCTGAGATTGAAATTCACTCATTACTCCGTAATTCAATGCTATTTTGTGCAAATGAAAATTTGCATAAATACGATCAATATTCAAATATCTGAAAAACTATTGTAGAATAAGTGCATTCCCTTAGAATATAAATTTTTTAGCTTAAATTAATAATTTCACATTGAATATAAAAGGATGATTGTTTTTTTTTTCCTTTTAGATTTCCGTTCATGACAGCGGATGAGCTAACGTTAATTGAACGATCGCAACTGGTTGATTTACATCCAAAATTATTCCATCCACAGATTTTGCTCGCCTATAAATTTCATGCTCTTCCATTAGCAAGTCGAGCGAGTTGCAAGTAAGAATTGCTAGCGATTGGCAGCTTTAAATCTCATTCCTTTTATTGAAAAAGATAATGAAATAGTTTTTACAGTGAATTTAAGAATTGAGAGCTTATGAAATGTGAGAGAGAAAGAGATAGAGAAGAAATTATTTCTTATCTGCTAATTAAAAAAAATACATTATTAATGATTAAACTATGTCAACTTAGTAACTTTTAATATTCGTACTTTTTAAAAGAATTTACAAATATCCGAAATCTCCTCATATCTTTTTCTTCCTATGAAATTTGATAAATATTATTGTAATTTCTTGGTTTTTAGGGAATTTACCGGATGGCAATTTATTCTGCGAAATTATACGGATGTAAGATGGGATAGACGTATTACAGTTCGAGCTGATGATTTACGACACGACCGAAACATTGATCAAGCTTACAACGTTAGTTTATACTTTATCTCTTAGCTATTGCTGAAATCAATCAAGCCTGAATACATAGCAATGTGTAAGAAATGAATTGTAGATCAGTATTCCTATTATGGATGATACACGAATTAGAAATAATGGATCCATAAATCTTTCTATATTCATTATTATTTTAGTTTATCACATTTCATCAACTCTCTCCTCTTTTCACTTTATTTTTTTCAATACAGTAATTCAGGTAGCTTTTATAAGGAATGTATCATTTGTATATTGCAACTATTCTTTTTCAGCTTTATTGCATAGCAAAATATTCGTGTTCTTTTGCAATAGTAATATTTATAGATAACCACTCGCTCATCCACTTTTCCATTGCAAGCATGGAATTGGAAATTGAAATTAGCTAGTCAACTTGTACCAAATTCCTACGATGAATTAAGAATGTTTCTGGTCTCAGATGATATCGATCAGTCACGCTCTATCGAATATCTCATACAGATTGTCGATGAACGAAAAGTTATTCGATCATTCTCATCAAAAAAGAATTTCACTAAAACAAGGTTTGCTTACTTTGAAATATTCAAAGATTTTTTAGCATTATTATTCTTTCTAATATTAAAATTCCACTTTAAAGATTCTGAAGGTATGGAAAAATCAATGAAAAAATCACGTTGTATTTTAGCTCGTTTTCTTATTCAAATCTGTTTTCTACTACTTCGTTGAAAAGAGAGATCGCATTAGTGAGTAATAATGGAATTCAATAAGTAGCAAATGCTATCTTATTAATATCATTTTATCTTATCTTTTCTTAAATGTTTCACCGATCGGTTCAATAGCATTTCCAATTATTGTTGAACGAAAACTTGGCTTTTCAACGAACATTTTAAGAATCTAACTCAATTATTTCAAACATAAAAAATGAAAACTTAGGTTAAACTATTTTCACCAAATTTTTTAGCAGCATTTTCATATTCCTCCCTCTCTCTCTCTCTCTCTCTCTCTCTTATATATTTTGTACTTATTTTTTATGCAATTCATTTCAGATACAGTGCTGATATTGAAATTGAAAAAAAGATGGATCTTGGTGAACTTTATACCGATAATTCTCCATTACTTGTAAATAGCGAACTTCATTTGCAGATAACCTTAAGACCTATTGATTAATTCTTCTCAAATTATCAGATATCACTTTTGGAAATAAGTTAAACAAATAGTTTTCATTTCATCATAACTTAAACTGCCATATTATTGTAAAGTTCTGGTGTGATATTATAAATTATTATTTGCCTTTTCTTTTTTTCTTTATTCATTTTTGTGCTTTTATAAGAAATTTCAGCAATATTTGTTTACAGTTCATTTTTGCTTTCACTTATTAAATATTGATTGATATTTTATTGATTAAAATTAATTATTAATATCCGGAAGTCGGAGATGCAGGATATTTTACTTGTTAAAATAAATTAATATCTGGGAATCGAAGATGCAGGATATTTTATTGGTTAAAATCAATTAATATTAGAGAATCGGAGATGCAGGATTTCATTCAATCTCTTATGTCGGAATAAATTGACGAAAATCACAATTTGATTAACTTTAGTAAATTCTGTACACGAAGTCCCGAAGTGATAATGATTTTCATTTGTTGAAGAACGATATGGTTTTTCGATTTCTCATTTCATTTCATTCGCTGTAATACATAGCATAACGGAAAACTGGAAATAATACCTCATTAGATTTCTGATTGAAGAGAAAACAATTTTTATGTCTTTTGGAGGAAATAAAATAATTTCGTTTAGCTAATTTAACTACATAAAATTTCTGATATAAGACAATCCATTCATAATAAGACATGATACGTGAAATACGGAAAACTGGATAAGTTTTCGGCTTCCCTAATCAATTAAACTTATACATTTATCCGAGAGTTATAAATGTATGATTTCACAAAATTATCAATGTTTACTTCGTTAAAAACAAGATTTATTTATTAAATATGAAAAAAACAATGGAATTGTATTAAAATTGACGTCGAACTCGATGAATTTTCACGGATAATTGCCCATCCGGATCATTTATTCCGGATAAAATACAACCAATTTGATGAAATGAGCTTTTTTCTTGCAAATTTCCGGTAGAACTTCCTTCATAAAGCCATGCGCTTCTGTAATTTTCAATTCAAACGATGCAAGTTTTTTGAATTTAATGAAAATTATAATCAAATAATTTTCTTTGATATGATGCGCACTTTTACACTTACCATATATCTGACTGACTCTCTCAAATTTAACTAATCAATCATCTAATGTAACGAATGAAAGTTTTTAAAGTTGTCAAGTTCTATAACACTGAATCCTTTCTATTCAACCTTCTTTCGCCTGCAAATTTCCATACGAAAAGAGCATTTCGATCAATTGGGAATATTCGATCATTTTCATTTACGGTTAGTATTTTTGCTATTCTCTGAGATGTCTTTTGAGCATCGAGAGTAAAATTTGGATAGCGCACTTTCATTTGATAAACGATCTGTTGTTTATTTTTCTCAGGAATTGCATAGAATGCATAAGCACCACTTGGATCCATCTATGAATCATTCATAAAGAAATAAATTTAATACTGAAATTAGTAAATTTAATATTAAACTAATTTTTAGGATAAACTATCACAGTTCATTAGTAGTCCATCTTAGCAGTTAATTAATTTATAAAACGCTTCTGCATTATATTTTCTTCTTGACAGAATTATACTTCATAAAATTTTCTTACAGTTAATTGCAAAAATTTCACGTGAATCTGTTCGGAACGAATTTTCGTAATACGTATACCATTATCAATATTCTTTATTTGCAACACGTCATGTTCCTAAATTAATTAAGAAAAATCTGTTATAGTGTAAATATTTGATAGCTAAGAAATTGTCCTTATTTTAACATTTTATGTCATACAATTATCATAGCTATTAATTTCTTCATCATTTAATAAAATGTTGGTAGGAATAATTTCGCTGTTCAAGAAATCTTACCGTAAACGATGATTCATTGTTATTTTGATTAATGAAGTGTAATAAACCTCGACCCATATCTATAGCTGTCAAAAAGATATGAGTATTTTGTGGTATAAGATTGGTAATATGATCACGATAGAAATATCGGAAATGAGTTGGTTGATTCCGTACTGATTCGGCTAGGATGATTGTTAATTCTGTTCAGTAAAAAGTATGTTAATTTAGTGAAATTTGAAAAATTTTCTTGTTGAATTCTTTTGAAGTTTTTAATCAATATATGCACAAATATTTGAATTCTCTGATAGGTAAATAAATTTTTCTTTAATATAAGTTTAATTTTTTCAATGACTCAAATTCATATTTTACATTTACACTTTGTATTCTTCGAATATGTAGAAATTTTGAATTAAAAACAATTTAACTATAAATGGTTAACTTGAATCCATCTGGCTTACATTTACTATAAATCAAAAACTTTTTATCATAGATAGTAGAAAATGTTCCTAAACTTTTCCGGTAAATTCAGAAATACTTAAACCTTAGGTTCGGAAAAAAAAGATCAATTGATCGAATTTTTCTATAGATCTTACGATTTGTCGTATCGTCGAAATTAACGATAATGGTAACATTGAGATTCAAACCAATCAAAACTGGATGCATATTCTTAAACGAACATTGGATGCCCTGGGTTTGTAGCGCTTTTATCACTGTTGATTCATGCACTATCACTTTGCTTCAAAACAAATGAAATTGATTAATGAAACAAATCATAAGATAATGATATGATAGCGGTAGAATAATCTGCGAAATGAAGGTATATCAATTAGCATATTCAGAAAGATATGAATGAACAAATTAAGACATTAGTAAATTTTGTTTACAACCTTTGCCTATGATAATGTAAATCATAAAGACTTTGCACGACAGAAATCATATTCTCAGCTCGAAAATTAGATCCAATTTTCACCATTGTTGAAATACACGAATTTTCATAACCTATACCCAAATAATATTCATAATCTTCGTGATTCAAATATTCCAACAGCAATGATATATCACATCGCGGTGGTGTTCCCTAAATATGACCTAGAGATAGCATTATTTTGATTTTTTATGCAGATCAAATCCTTCAATTACTTTAAAAAGTTTTTGAAATCTTAAATCCACGTAAACTGGAAGAGATGTAAACTATCTCACTTTTAGAATTAAAATAAATTAGCTCGCTGTAATTCGAAATAGTTAAAAATGATATTAAAAAACCTCAAGCAAGCATAAAGTGACAAGCCAAAATATTTGATAGACGATATAACCGTCAGCCATTGTGATAAATTAACAAAATATTCAAAAGAAGGATTAAACTTCATTTATATTAAGAAGAAAGCTATGCAAAATATGTTGCGTTATATTTAATATAAAAGCGTAAATTTAATTGAGGCATTTTATATGATATCCACTAACTAATGAACTTATTTGAGATAAGGAATTTAAAGTTCATAAATGTTCAAAGATATCAGTTCTCCCACTATATCATCAACTGTTTCCTTCCTGCATCTATCCTAACTCATCGCTTTCATCGATCTTTCCCGAGAATACATTAGTAGCAAAACTGATGTAGGACTTAAAATTATTAATATAACCTCCAATTTAAGCTAAACTTCCCAAAATAGCGAATGGAAAGTGATCATTTACCATTTGCCATATCCATCAATGGATTTAACATGAAGGTACCACCATTTATTTGAATTGAGATCATTTCACTAAAATAGACGCAGTTTTATCATGCCAATTATATGTACCATAGCTTATAATAGATCTGACATACTTACAGGCCTTATAATAGTTTAAAAAAGCCTTCGAAAATGCAATTGCAAGATGGACAATTTCGTTGATAACTCGACTGATGAATAATTTTATCCGAGGTAAAGGGTATAAAAATCCTAAACTACATCAGAAACATTTGTCATAATGTCAGAAGGTTATGCTAGATGTTGTTGGTACCATAAAAATCATTCCGAAAAGGAGGTCATGCATACATTTGTCCTATTTGTTATAAGAAAAAAACTTCTTTCCATCTACAATCCTTTAATTTATCTTTCAGAATCTTTATTTTCATTTCGAAAATGCCAAACGAAATTCAGCATCTAAAAGAATGGAACTAAGATGAGATGTGGAAGAGATGATGGCAACTCAAGAATGATTGCAAAAAAGCGGTGTTTCATATTTTCTAAAAATTCATGTCTCTTACCAAAAACTTCTGCCCTCCAAATTATTTCGAAAAGTGCTCTTACACTTCTATGTGTTGCTTTGAAATATTGCTGTTACTCTTTAATTTATTTGCAATAAATGAAAGAAACAACTTGCAAAAAATATCAAGGAATGTCAACAAATTCAACCATCAAATTAACATTTAGCAATAGTTAATATGACATTTTAAATTACGGCGCTGATAAAGTGCCAAATTTTTTAAAGCCTTAAATTTAGATGATACGACGAAATATTTTGACACATAAATTCATCTTATCAGTCTCGCTTTCCAAAAATTTATTTCATGCCAACATTACACGGGAAATAATGATTTGTTTGCCGCTGTTATCTAAACATTAAATTTGAATCACTTAAAATTATCTTTCATCTTTGTGAAACCCTTTCGTAGACTTTCGAAAGTATTCGGAATTTCCGGACAAAGCCGCTCCAATTTGGAAGTATCTAAGGCGCAGTTCCCTTTTGTGGCACATAGTTCACGATATTTGTCATCTTTCGCATCTAATATCTCGTAATGATGCAAATCCGGACAAACAATCTAAAATCATTTTTTTAATAATCTAAAATCATTTTTAATCTAAAATCATTTTTTTAATTAATGGAAAAATTACTAACGGTAAAGTCTGTAAAGTTACACGTGACATTAGATCAACCTCTTTATAAAGTTCCAATATTTGAGAAAAACTGATCGGTTGAGGATTGACTAAATTCAAATTGCCACCAACACGTCTTTCCATGAGATCAATAAGTGCTGGTATGCAGTCATCCAATATTGTTATCGATACCGGAATGTCGAAGATTCGTCTTAAATATGAACAATAAATTTTTTAGAATAAAATTAACTTCAAGTTTAAATAACTAACAGTAATTTTAATTTGGTGAGCAGAATTTTCTCAATAATTCATATGAAGCTTACAAACACACATACAAAATTTAAATGCAAAAAAAGAAGACTTCAAAGGTTCAAACAAAACAAAATTTTACTTATATCCCAAAATTTTGGTCAGCAGATTTCTTTCTTCGTCTAAGCAAAAATTCAGTGGTAACGTTATTCGAGCATTTAAGCATTCTTTGATTCCACCTTGATACTGTTGTATCATACGATCAGTGACACCTTTCACAATTGAGTATGAATTCCCGAAAAACGTTGGCAAATCTAAAACCAATCGTCAGATAAAACTAAATCACACATCTACCCCATGCATTAAGTGTTGAAAATAGTTTCAATCAGTAACGCAATTTTTGCTATATATGAAAAACATCAAAGATCTATTCAGTAACCCACTCCTACCTGTCTCCTTAGCAAATACGATATTCGTTACTCCCACTTTATTGTAGCATAACAGGCTGTAACTAAAATTGATTCAATTAATATACCATCATCAGCGAAACCTTTGCCGCCTATCGGATGCTCCTGATCATATGCAAATAAATATCCAGTTCCGACGTAAGTGAAATGTAGACCCAATGTTTGACATATTTTTGCTAAAGCTATCACTGAGTATAAATTATCCCGTATATTCTCAAAAGTCTGACACAGTCCACCTGAAAATTTCTAACTGTATAGTTTGAATGATTTGAATTTTGAGAGACTAGTAAATTTATGATATTTTGATGTGAAAAAACATATTAGTTTGAATAACATTAGTATTTCGTTGAATTTGATACAAATTCTTCAAGTTCTCTGAACCTTCCAGATATTCGATTGTTTTGAATTCACCGCCGTGCGTTCTCCCCGTACAACAAAGTACATGTGTACAGTAGATGCTATTTAACTCATCGAAAACCTAAAATGAATTGATCGCATTAAATTTCAAAATATATTCCATTTTCTCCTTATTTATTGCTAAGTTCTGGCCCAGTTTCTTAATATCAGACAATCGTAAGCATTACGTAACTCCTCATCGGTATTCTTCCCAATTCGACAATTGGCCAACGTAAAATGAATCTTCCGCTCAATCAACTTCTTACAACATTGTTGTCCAATCCAACCTTTACCACCGTAAACGACAACGATCATCTTCTGACTTTTTTTTAATGGACTTAATGCCGATGCGACAACTCGACTAATACCTAAAATTTGTAGTCTTTTCATTTGAAATTCAAATAATATAAGAATTGAGCAGCTCAAAGAATAACCTCGCTCATGAGAAAAAGAAAAATAACAACAGAAAATTCATGGCAAATAAGCGAACGTTTTGCAATATTTTTCTAAAGCAAAACCCATTTGTTTGAAAATCGTTTTAATGACAATGCATTTTCACTGAAATTACATATACGACGTACTTGACAATGCCTAGAAATGCATTCCAGAGTACATACACATAGTCACTTGAATGTGAAGAAATACTTAAAAGAGTTGCATTTGTAAGCTGGTAGAATGAATCGAAAGAAAGGTAAAATTCTTGCGTGATTTCGATAGGAAAATCAAGAGAGATCTGGAAAAATGCTTTATAAAATAATACGAAAAAAATTACCTTCTTTAAATGTTACTTTTGGTGACCAACCAGTGTCGAGATTAATTTTACTGTAATCAAGTAAATAGCGTAAATCGTTATATGGCCGATCTTGTATTTCAATAAATTCCACTGGAGTTGGATTTCGTCCAAGTTGTCGGTCCACTTCTGCTTGTATAACATGTGCAAGATCGATTACTGCAAAAAAATAACCAAATAATAGCAAAGTTACACATAATATTACCGTGCTGCTCAATCAGCAACTGATCAAAAAAAATATAAAGTACCGCTCATTTCAAAATAAGTTCCAATGTTGTAAATTTCATGAATTGTCCCATTTTCAATAACTTGTCGAATGCCTTCAGCGGCATCGTCAACATATAACCATGAACGTAACTGCCTGCCACTACCTTGCACAGTGAATTTTTCCATATTTTTGGCTAATTTAATGAAGCGAGGAACTAACTAAAATTGTTTGCAATCATTAGTTTTCAATAATATAAATGAACTTTTAAAAATAGTTCAGTTTTCGATACAATTTATTTGACATCTTCGAAATTTCCTATTTAAAAAAGTGAATATTCAGAAGTGCAATCTGGAAATTATCTCGTTTATTGCTACTGTATACTGCTGCACAAAACCTTGACATCCCACTGATTGGGTCCATAGATATTGTTGATGCGTAACATAATAATTGGCATTCCAAACGATTCGCAGCAAAGATGAACGTATGATTCACAGGCTGCCTGAAAACAAACCGAAAGTTCCAATTTGTATTAATCGGGAAATTTCCTATTAACATCATAGTCTCATCACCTTTGTAGCTGCATAAGGATTTCCAGGTAAAAGAAGTGCATCCTCTTTTTTGCCTTTTTCATCTGCTACCAGATTAGAATCACCGTATACCTGCAAAAAAAAGCTGAAAATAAAGGAAATAGCTGAGAATAATCTCAGGCTAGAAATTCGACTGTAAAAATTTGGAAGAAAATGTATAAATTTCATTAAAACTTGAATTTCTTAAAAATTGAAGTGAAAATAGAACTTCTAAAATAGAAACGATAATATTTTCTTAATTTGACACTAAAAAAATTATTGCAAAGCAATTTAATTTGTTTCTAAATTTAATAGCTACGATTACTTGAATTTCGTATAACTTTTTAGATGCGAAAACACCAAAGATCAACATAACTTATATTAATAAAGGGAAGAAACCAAAAATAGATGATGAAAAAATTATGGAAAATGAACTTCGTCAGTACTAATGTGTACGAATCTTTCGACTTTCTTATAGGATCGAATACTCTCCATAAATCGAATAAATGCAATCACATTATTTTCAATTGACTCCACCGGATCGTTGTAACATCGTGTTGAAGTGCAATCCGCAGCAAAGTGTACCACCGTATCAATCTACAATAATGAAATTAGTGAATTAGTGTCTATAAGAGCTAGTGATAGAGTCTTTTATAAGGAATCCTTTGACTATTAATTGTTTGAAAATCCTGTACGTGGATTTTTGATAGAAATATAAATAAGCCATAGAAACTTCTTCTACTTATCAAATGTTTTCTCAGTTCGTCAATGTGTGAAGCATGGGAATATCTTCAAAGATCCATGAATTTGCCATCTTACCATTCTGGCTATTCTCGTTCCAATAGCTTACTCAGCACTTTATCATCACGGTTTAGCAGATATTAATAAAACTTACTTGATATCAAAAAAATTCAGACATTTCTGGTTGACCTGAACAGAAACTTAACCGGAATGAATCACCATCCATTCTTTCTCAACCACATCATATGAGCACTAGTTACTAAGCAGATAAGATAAATGCATGCTAACTTCCATGTTTATTTAATCGACATATTTATTACATATTATTTAGTCGACAACGATACTCAAAAATGGAAGTTTTTTTTGGGAAAAACTTTAACTGAGGTTATATAACCTGGTATATATTGGTTCCACAATTTTTCCTACATTCAATTCTGCACACAATTTCTGGCTTCTTGACATTAACTTTCTATTGATAAATGCTTCATCGAACATATAGATTTTATAGAACTCAATGAATCATTCAGAAATCCAAAGAGGAATCCGATCGGTGAGACAAGGAGAACAATTAATAATGCTTACTATGATTATCTAACTGAACTTAAAGGATTAGAAGAATGAGTTGTCATGGTACTATTTCTATAATGCATGGAGCATGCAACGCAAGAATTAGCATAACATGCAACATAAATGATCAATGAATTTTACCTATGAAGGAGTCGACTTAAATGTCGTGAGATGGAAAATATTTTCGTGTAATGATTTTGTGCATAATTTTCAAAGCATTTCTTTCATCGTTGAAGCGAAAAGTGAAAAACTATAATATTTAAAAGTCATATGACAATTCTCCGTTCATTTTATTGATTGTAAAAGTGGAATTAAAATGGGATTGCCTTGTTATCGTTTAAGATTCGCTCAATTAGTGCGGAATTACGTATATCGGTTGTGATAAGTTTGTATCGCGATGATTCGATTACTTCCTCATTCACATAGAAAGCATCCGAATTCAGCATCAACTTATCAATGTTAACAATATTAATTTGCGGCCAGATTCGAAAGATATAATTCACAAAATTGGAACCAATAAAACCGCAACCTCCAGTGATTAGCACGTTTCGAGGTGTATAAGCAGACATCAACAGTTTCTGCAAGTGAACGTTATGGAATATAACGAAAATGTAAAAACGTAGCCCAGTGCATTTAGGATAGTACGTCTAGTTTATTTGGAGTGATTTCTAGGTTGGATAAACAGACCAGAAATACATGGTAAAACATAAGTGGAACAAAGCATTAATCGTTTAACAATGCCTAACAATGCCTAACAATGTCTTATTAAGCAATTCCCACTAAGTGATAGTTACAACCAAAAAAAAATGAAAGGTTTGTGGTTTGTATCGGAACGATCCATACCATCATTAAGGTAACAGTAACATGTCAATCAGCATCCTTGAGAACAGAATGTCATCCACAAACATGTGATGATTTCAGCGTTGGACAAATAATGGCTTCTACAGGTAGGACGATATGAAAATAGTGAAGAGTGATTGTTATTATCAAGTAGACTATCCAATTATCTCTGTTGCCAGTACTTTCACAGAATTAACAATTGATTGAATGAGTTAGCTATAAAGATTTCAACTCATTAATTAGATGATTTAATTAAAGGCTTTTAAATCAAATTGCGTGGAGAAAAAGTAAAACTTTCTGATTAGTATACAATGATATTTTAACTGTTCTATATTTCTATAACTGTTTTCCGCAATCAATCCTTTCTTTGCTTACATTATTATTGTTGCAACTGCACGATAATAAATTCTAATTATTTTTATAGAAATATATTTCAACGAATACTTCAACTTTCATCTATTTGATTAGCATATAAGTTGTAACAAAATAATGAAACAAAATATATATTATTTTTTTAAGGCCCTTATTAGGTCCAAAAACACTTATTGCACAAATGCCTAAATGCAATGCTATAATTATGCTATTTGACAACCACTAACTTAATCAATTGTTTTCAGTATCAAAACTCGACTTAACGTGCAGGTAATCAAAATTTTATAATACTTACAAAAATATCAGAAAAACATGAGATGATAACCTCTTACATGAAAAAACATGAGATGACCTTTTATATCTTTTAAAAAAAAACGGAAGAGTCGAAAAGTACTGAAATACGAAATAGTTCGGACGACAGAGTAGTAAAAAGTTTCTTCTTTCTGAACAAATACCACGCAATAATTCATCGCTATAAAGTTCACATTTCGAAATCATACATCAAACTTTGACCTTTTTAAAGGATTCCGAGCACAAAATTCAAAAAAGAGTAAAAAATTTAACGAAATTTGAATCATCCCAGCTGTGAATTCGAAATGCATCTGTCGATGAGACAGCGAAGGTGACAAGATGGTTGACCTATTTTTGCTTTAAATTAAAGATTATAAGCAAAATTAGATTTCTTGAAATTGTTCATCTTTCATACTAGAGAATTTAGAGAAACAATAACGTATAAGAAGAAAAGACGAAATGGCGTAATGCCAAATAAATTTGATAATTCTCTTCACAAAGTTGGTGCGACAAATGAATTTAGAACAAATTCCTATTGCATATTTTTGCATATTCCATGAAAGAAGAACTTTATGAACACTTCAACTATCGCATAGCATTGAAATCAAAAAACATTATCACTGTGATAAGTAAAAAGTATAGGTAAAGTCATACACATGAAACAAATCTTAACAACTTCTTATATATAAGATATATGCAAAGGTGGTTTTCAAGGTGTAAAAACTTATAGGTTTTAACTTTCTAGCTTTAGTTATTGTTCTCTGATCGTTTTAGGATTAAAGTTTCAAAAATTATTTATCCAACTTCTTATTTCATTATGATTGAGCAAATTTTTTATAAGACTTCAATAACTAAGCGAATAATCTTACTAGAGATAATAACTTATAGTTAAGAAATAAAATACGCTTAAGTAATCCATTAATTCCATTCGTAATCATAAAGATTCATTTTGTGAACCTCCAATTTTCGGGATGAAATTCAAACCAAGTCTTGCCAGTGTTATATTTTTGCGTAATGTTATAATATCCCAGTATGAATCATGTACGCCACATTTGACAATTCCTTGGTTTACATAACGAATATAGGTAAAGAAATCACATACTGCAGCTATCTGAAAGAAAATAATGTAATTCCAAAGCATGATCGGAAGAAATCTTACTTTCTAAAGTCTTCATTCTTTTAGCACTACCTAAAAAGTTTATTAAAATGCCAAAGGTCAGGAAACGGATAACGAATCACAGTGAGAATTAGCATCAGAGGCTTCAAATCGAAACTCGCTATGATTTTCGACATATTTGAATAAAAAATCAATCAATGTGTTGGCTTAAACAGATCCGTGGTTCAAGTTATATTATCGATTGCCCGATCAAGAATTAAAACGAGAGGTTCGAATACTAATATTCAATATTGGGTGGGAAGATATCGATGAATTTAATTAAAGACTATCTCATCTACGATTATACTTCAATGTGCGGAATGTCAGTAAAGTCATACTGAAATCATATAGTAATTCTTTATTAGAAGTAATTCTTTATTTATTATCGCAATTCTTTATTAGAAGCATATCAGTAACTATATATCCCACCTTGATAATTCGAATACTATTCAAATATCAAATTTTAAAACTTAAAAAAGACATTTAAAAATTTCAAAGAAGATATCTAAGACTTAATTTAAATTAGAGAACAAAAACAACAAATTTACCTTAATGTTACTAAAGTTAACAGCAAAGGTTTCCATAAAATATATGACAGAAAATTTAGCAATTTATTTCTAATCGAATACTGAATTAATAACAAACCCGATTTCGTGCCAATAATGAAATATAGCACCATTCGGAATCACCGTTAACTCTCATTTTATACGGAGAGAAACGTGGAACCATAGATAACGCACAAGTCCTGAAATGTTAACCATTCAAATATTATACGTCAATGAAAGATTTCGAGTATTTGTTAGAAGTTGGAAGTTGCCAGCATTTGCAAAAATATTAGAAGATATGAACTTGTGATAAGTTGCCATTTTCCGTAGAATTTAGATTAATTAAGTTTGAAACAGATAACTGATATGATATAGCTTGCTTTACAGAAATGCAACAAAACGAGGGGAAAAAAAAGATAAGTTTTAAAATCGGTTTAAAATCGTTATTGCATGAAGAACATATGGCTTACCTAACAACAGGTTTTGCTTCCGAAACGGCTTCTAGTTCCAAAGTATTTGTTTTGATTGCACCCAAAACTTGCTCTGTTAGCTGGGAATTTATAGAGTAATTACAAACCCATGATCACACATCCATATTTTCATTACTAAATAATAAAGAAACAAGGAGGACAAAAATCTCGTAAAATAAGCATATATTTTATTAGAAGTATGTCAGTTAATTACACATCCCATCATGATAATTCGAATACTATTCAAATTATTAAATTTTAAAACTTTTGAAGAAGCAGCTAAAAATTTCAAGCAAAATATTTAAGATTAATTAATTCAATTCAGAAAACAAAAACAACAATTTACCTTAGTGTTAATAAAGTTAAGACAAGGATAAACATCTTCTGCAATGATACGTGATAGAAAAGGTGAATTCTCATCCATTGAAGCACCTTGTTCTTTCCATTGTGTGAATTCTCTGTGATAAATAGGATCGATCTGAATTTGCTAAGAAATTAATTCCAAATTTTCAACTATACTTTAAACATTGAAAGCAATATGCATTTTAGAAAAATTTTCTACAGTAATCTAGTGCAATAGTAATAGTAATCTTTTAAATTAATAAAGTTAAAAAACGATTAGTACCTCAGATATTGGTTCACGTTGTTCACTTTGTGCTAATGATGTCGAATCCCGTCCCGACGATGGTAAAGTGTAACTTTTACGACAATTTCCAGAACTATGTCGTTCCTTCCGTCCTATAAAGAACGAAGGCTTTTTTATCATAACAATTTAATCATGTTCAATTACTTCATTTAAATTTAATGCAATTTTATGTCTTCGTCATAAAAATCTCCTCTAAAAATTTTTCAACATTATAAAGCAGCAAAAGTGGAAAGTGAAGCCGAAATCAAATGAAATTCAGAAAATAGACCGAACTTCTAGACGAGGCATTATATTTGATTGATTTTTGCAAGGGTATGAGAGAAGCTTTTATGTCACAAAGTTTCTATGCATCTGAACAAACAAACAGATGTTTGATGAATAAATAGATAATGAAAGTAAGTGTACACTTACGTGTGCTGCCAAGAAAACGTGATGCTAAGCTGGTTCGCTGAGGTGTTATACCAGTCAAATGTGTTATTTGCGACGTAGAGGATATTGGTGACTTTACGATAATTTTTAAAGCTTCAACTTCAGCCATTAACATGTCAACCTGGAAAATTATGTGTTCATGGAATTTGTATAATCTGCATTGAGCACACAAATGTTATATTTATCTGAAGATATTAGCGAAATTTTGTTTTGATGATAAAAATTAAGGGACACAATAAAGTACTTAACATACTTTCAAGTGACTTTCAGCAAGCAATTTTTCAGCCTTAGCTCGACGACTTTCAGCATCATTAACCATTCGATAGGCTTCCTGAAAGATTGACAGATGCATAAACATCTCTAATATATTTGAATCGCTAGTTTAGCTTTTCAATATGTGAGTCATTTGTATCACTTCTAGAGAATTCCAAAATTTCATTTTTTTAAACTGGAACTATAGTCAGAAGGCTAATGCCCATCTAATGACAGTATTCAACTGTTCTTATTGAGAGGAAATCTTAAAATTTTTGCGTTCTACATGAAACTTCTACACAAAGGATAGCAGTATCACCAGCCCAAAACATCTGGTTGGCATTTTAAATACACACAATAACAGTAATTATTCAATTTCCTTTTTCCATTCATCTTGGCCTTAATCTAATTATATGCCTAAAGTTTCATTAAACTTTTACATTTTTGATAATAAGAAGCAGTGAATGGGGAGTTTTAACTAATAAAATATATTAGCAAAGTCCACTACAGTGACCATTAAATAAAAATTTTAAGTGATAACATAAACGCTTCATATTATATGCAAAGTAAATAGAATAGTTACGGGAAAATAAAACCTTTTTTCGCTTAAAGAGTTCAAAGTTAACTATTATCAATATCAATATCAATAGAATAGTATAAAAATACGACAAAAAAAAGGACTTGGAAGAGTTTCTCGGTCAGTTCCTGTACTTCAGAATCTACATGATTCTGAAGCTCACTCAATCGTGTACATTTCGCTTCCTTCTCAGCAATTGAATGTCTAGCAGCATTCAATTCTTGCTCAAGACGAATGATTCGGTCAGCACCTTGTTCGTAGTTTCCTATCAATCCATCACTTGTTGATGATGACACACTTTCACTGTAAAATTATTGTTTACTGAACAGAAATCCTCATGCGATTAAAATTGAAAATTATCAACAATAACAATGATTAAAAATTGGATTAGGATTAGCCTAATTTTTAGTCGACAGATTTTAATTTAGAATTAAGACAAATGAATTCTACCTCATTTCGAAAGGATAAATTCGATGAAAGTTATCGTGCCATCACTAATAATATCAGTTATAAATGACAAAAATTAAAAAAGGAGTGGGTAGAAAAAATTTCATCCACTGATTGAATATAATCGATTTTCTGATCAAATACTATGAAAAATCAACTTATCAACTTTGAAAAAAAGTATTCAATTAAACTTCAATTGACAACCTTTCTCGTTTGGAATTTCGACTAGCTGTATTACGATAGAGGATAAGTTAAATAACTGGTTAAAAAATGCCTGATTTTCAGCCACCTCATTGACCTTAAATTCCCTCGATACGTCTGTTTGGATAGTGTAATAGCATGTAAAATTTAGGATGTCAAAATGACTAATAAAAGTGATTATTAATAATTAATGATAACATTCAGAATTATTAGAACTAACCACGATCGGCAATAATGCTAGTTAAAAAATGTTGAGTAATTAGGAAATTTGGAATAACCGGGAATAACCAGGAAAATAGCTACTTTTGATAACAAAAATTGATGCAATTTAAATTTTATAAATTAAGTTTTTTTTATAAATTGGGATGAAACAAAAATACTTACCGTGAAGAGATGTTGACCGATTCAGATGGAATTAGATGAATACATGAGCTAAGTGCATCGATACTTCCCGATGGTTGCATTACACTGATTTCACCAGGTTAAATAGATGGGATTGGCCAAGATGGAGGGAATTAATGAATTATTAAGATTACAAGATCGTGCACTTTTCCTTTTATCCAATTCAAATTTTTTTTCAAACTGAAATTTAGGAAATTTCGATTGATAGCCTTTTTTCGATTGGAATTACGACTAATCGTATTACGATAGAGAATAAGTTAAATAACTGATTAAAAAAAAAATGCCTGATTTTCAGCCACCTCATTGACCTTAAATTCCCCCGGTACGTTTGTTTGGATGGTGTAATAGCATGTAAAATTTAGGATGTCAAAATTTATTATAACTCTTGCAAAGAAAAAAAGATTCCTTATTCTCATCGAGCAAAACAAAATTGAGAATAAAATTAATAGCTTCAGCTGAAAGATTAAACTCTCATTTAACCAAATAGAAAAAACAATGTTAGTCAATTTAATAGATAAAGTAAGCCAAGAATTATATTTGATATAAATTTCTCGAAGTTAATTTATCTCAAATGGGACTGGATCAATGGTTGAATAGTATTTTCGACAAATGAAATTCCAAATTTTACATATAATTAATAAATAATGTCCCTAAAAAAGCCTAAGAAAACAATGAAGAGAGAAACGAAATTGCAAATGATATTTTAAAATATTCGTTGTAGGCCTCTTTGAAGGTAATAAATAGAGGAGCAGTAAAGTGCTGCTTGGAGCCTTTGAAAAGAAAGATGATCAAAGAGGCCTAAATCTCTCATCCCTATTACATATAGGCTGCTATATTAACTTCAAACAAAAACGTCAAAATGCCATGTTGACATGTCATTTTGAAAAAGTTGTTTACTAAATGCTTCTCGAGCAAAAACAAATAATAAACGAGGGATAGATAGGAAAGAAACAATGGAAATAATTAAAATAGACAATGAAAGATGGAAGTGACTGGATAGAGTGATCTAACATCCAAACCACCAGCATTATGATTTAATCATATCGTAATTTCATAATCATTGAAAAACGATTTCAGATTTAAAATGCCAATTTGAAAATGTGCAATAATAATAATAATAACAGCCTGAGCAACAAAAACATTTCTAAGCTATTCCAAATAAAATTTAACAAAATAACAAATTAACAGACAATGCAACAAATATGTTAGAGATTTAGAGATAGATTTAGAGAATGTTAGAGATCTATTCGGGGTATATAATTAAAATATTCGAAGTTTCTACAGTCTTAAATTTTAAATTCTAAGTTCAATCAATTATTCGCAAAGCTATATGATACTAGAAATTTATACCAATAAATTTTGCATAATAAATTAAAGCCATAAAAATGTTGTCCTAAAAGGATAGGAACATCTGTTCCAACTCCATCATAATATATTTTAAGGATAGTTATGAAAAATTTGAAGCTATTCATTCTTCTCTCTTCACATATTATTTCTTATTGTTCACTAAAAGAAAATAATGAAATTCCTAGGGATAGTTAGGATTACTCGAAAAATAGGACAAATTTCAAAGACAAATCATTAACGTGCATAGGTAAAAAGTATTTCCTGAAAAAGTGTTTCCGTAATTTATACGGATACGATTATGATAATAAGCAAGATAAGGAGAATGGTTATGGAATTGTTAATGTTTTGTGATATGATAAATAACAGATAGGAGCTGTGTTGAGTTGAATTCGATAGAGTAAATGGTATGCAAATAATGAATTTCAACCATTACTTTGCTCCATATTTCCCATCTAAACATTCTTGAAATTATTGAGGAAAGTAATAAAACCTAAAAAAAAAACGGCCTTCAACAATCTTTTCACAAAGATTGATTTCAACAACGAAAAATTTCCAACAGGAATGCCTGAATATTAATATAAAATAAATAATAAAATCAAAGGAAAAAAAGGTGTGAATTTGAAAGATGACGAATTATCATTAAATATTTTTAGCTATAACAATGGTATAGAAATGAAATAGAATGTTTCAAGAAATGTGAAGCAAAAATTATTAATATATTTGAGGTGTAGGAATGATATATTTGTGATCGTCAAAAAATAATGATAATAATTAACAAATTGATAAAAAAATAAAACTTTTAAGCATATCATATTTACATATAAATAACTAAGGTAAAGTGAGCAAATCGCATTTGAAAAATATCTCTTAAACGTATACATTAATAACACAAAAAGGATTACAATAATGATAATTAATTGTTAAGAGATAAGCTGATAAACTTGGTTTACACTTTGTTTTAATTATTTATTTGATTTGGAAATGTGATCAGTTCAACAATTTCAATTTGCAGCTATAGTATTCACGTATTTTATTTTGAATTCCAATAATAATATATTCTAAAATATCACCAATAAGTCTCAACTGGGCATTTCGAAGCCATCATATCATGGAACTAATGGTATACCATATGATGCTTAGTAGTATTGGTACCAACAACAGTTATACAAAATAATAGATATGCAACAAGTAAACTGCTTCATACTTATTTAATCAACTATCTATGCTTAGCTACTACTACATCTCTCATTCAACTACTCTTACTCAGGATAAAACATAAATTGCTAAATTGGAAAATTCAAGAAATAATATTTAAAAATAAAGTTTTCTAGGTATACTATAAAGATTATATAATTATTAATGTGTAAATATGTATTGTAATCTTTCCAGCACAATTTACAGAGAGATTTAAAAATTTTACAATTCTTATTCCCTGCAAAAAAAAAATGCGAATGTAAAATGATTTTAGGCAAATTTCCAATAGCGTTGAAAAATATATAACGAAATTTTGATAAATGAAAAATTCATTTTTATGACGTAAATGTTGAAATTGGTTAGCGTTGAAATTCTCCTTGTTGCTATTGCAATCATTGGTAAAGAAATAATTTGGGATTGCTATGAAGATTATCAAGAATGCATTCCGGAAAGCAACAAAACGGATTATATTAACGTAGAAAACGTTGGATCACATAATCTTATAGAATTCTGCTTTAATCATACACAAAATATTCTTCCATGTTTGGCTACAAAAGTAACACTCTTCGCGATAATGGAAATTTTTAGAATGCTTTAAATTACTTTCCAAAAGAGATATGCCAATAATGTTCTCTGCTAACAAAAATAATTTCTCGTTAAATTAATTAAAAGCTTTTGGTCAAATTTTTTTATGACGAAATTATAATTAAGTAGTAAAATGAAAAAATAATTAAAGAAGCATATTATCTTATAATTAAATATTTTTATTAGTTTTCAGTTAGGTTTAACAAAAAGTATGTCCGTATCAACGTTTTCACTTCTTCTTGCTATTTGCGATGCAGAAACTCAAAGCAATAAATCAGCCGCTATCGTTAATTTCTTTTCTTTTCTTTTTTGAAAAAAACAAATTGAATGAATTTGAATGAACTATAATATCAAGCATGTTTATGATAAGAGAATTATGGGTTACACATATAAATTAGATATCAATAATGCATTTGAAATATTTCTGATAATTAACGAAAAATGTATGGAATACTGGAAACACATACTAATTTGACTTTGTTTACCAGCGATGATAAAAATGATTTTAAAAAAGAAGTTAATAATAATAACAAAGAATGTATCAATCGTATCAAATATTTTAGAATAATTATAGCCATAAAAATTTTTAGTCCTAAATTCAATTTTCTATTTAAAAAAGAAAATGGATGAGACCCAAAATTACATTTGAATTTATTAATTTTTAGGAAGTGCAACGAACTTTAAGATATTTAGCACGATTGTATGCATATTTTTGTGCTTACTCAAATATTTTGGATTTATACCGTAATGCAGAATGTTTTCGGTATTTATCAATTTTTCTTTTTTTCAAAATTCATAATATCAGATCAATAATTTTATACTTCACAGTTTGATTATTCTTATTTATTCAAATTAATATGCATAAAATATTGATTTAAATATTTTGATAATATTACAGAAATTTGATGAAACGTTGTGTTTTGAATAAACCGAATAATAGCTGCATATTCTATCATTGTGAGAAAGTATCACTTAATTTATCAGAATCCTATCGAAGAGTTCTACCCATTCAACAACATAAAACAACAAAAACAATCAATTTAATCAATCAATCAACAATTCTTCTAAATCATCAACATCGAATTACACCAATTATTGTTACAACAATACTAAAGCTAACTTTTATAGGTGCAATACAACGATTTATAATTTTTAGAAGATATATAACAAAGAATTAAATTTTTAGAGGAAAATAATGAGAAAATGATAATTAGTTGGAAAATTAAAAAAAAAAAAACAAAAAACAAAAATATAACGGAAAATTTTGTTCCGAAAAATTTCCAATTTTCAATTTTATTAGCCGTTGAAATATGGAAAAGCCTAATGGAATAATGGTATGAACAAAATTAAAATTAGTCATTGCTGCTTCTTCATAAGAAATGAAGCGATATAATGGAGAATTGAAGTAGACAGATGAAGAGTAGAAAAGAGCAGCTGAAATGTATTGAAAATACTAAATATGCCATGCCATCTTTATCTAAGCAAATAGCTGTTAGTTTAAAATATACGTCATTTTCTATTATATATTCAATATTTCTATCTGTCTTCTTTATCCTAAAATATTACGATTAAAAGAAATAGATGAAAATTTCTTTGAAATCTTAGGTTAGAGAAAGTTAAGAAATTTTGAAACTATAGGTAAGTAAAATTAAATGCTATATTCCTTTTTTAAGAAAATTTGTTGTTATAACCTTCTTTTTACTCCTACATAAATTTCACAATGAAATTTAGTCATATGTTGAATATGCGTTAAATTTGAAATGAAATGATTAAATATTTTGAACATATTATATAAAGGTTAATGAATGAAAATTACTCATATCGCCATGATACATGTTTTCTTTTCATTTTCTTTTCCACAAATAATATCTTAAAAAGAGATCATGAAAACTTCAATTTCTCAAATAACATCTCTTAAAAGAAGATCTAGAAATTT